CACATTGTGTATTCATTTTATTTTTATTTTCAAATATGTTGTGGAATACTTCAGGATTGAACTCAGGACCTGGGTTCTATCCATTAGCTTTCCTGCGCCATGCTGACACTCTTCACACTTGAGTGATAGCTCCACTTCTGGATTTTTGCTGGCTAATTGGAGATAAGAGTCTATCTTTTCTGTGTGGGCTGGCTTTGAACCATTATCCTCAGATCTCAATCTCCTGAGTGGCTAGTATGACAGACATGACCCATTGACCCCAAACTTATGAATCTATATGAGGGACTTGAGTATCCTCAGATTTTGGTATACTGAGGGTAGGCACGTCCAAGATCCAGTCATCATAGATGCCTGGAGACAACTGTGTTTTCATCTGTATTTTGTGTGCACATTTAATCATATTTTACACATGGCTACATATATCTGGCTGGAAGGTATTTTTGAGTTTTCTGGAATTCAAGAGTCTGGTTAATTCACAGTAGATTTTAAGAGGTTCACACAATCCCTATGAATAGTGTTTCTTGAGCACTTTAGATGCTCTCCAAGAAAATACATCATGGAGAGAAGGACACTAGGAGCAGTGTGGTTAACAAATCCACCAGCCTCCGGCCCTCTTCCCTCCTCCCTAGACTTGATGGATGGGGAGAGGCCGGTGCCACGTAGCGTGCACTGGGCAGGTCTCCCCTGGGTATAAGTTATTCTTGTGTAGCCAGACAGGGATGTTTGTGGGAAGGGAGCAAGATGAGAAGCAGGAGAGCAAAACCAGTGAACTAGTGAAGAAAAATGCATCTAGAATATGTTTTGTTTTGTTGTGTTTTGATTTTTTTTCTCTTCTGGGGCTGGGGCCTGTGTTGTTGGATGTGGGGTTTGGAGGCCCCTCCCGTGCGAGAGCCACATGGGTGAGTGACGGACCGTCCTCAGACATCGATTCAGATACGAATTGTCTAGGCCAGGAGAGGCTGGCCTTCCTCTGGGGCACAGCCACACGAGGGTTGTGTCCGTGTTCAGGTGGAACTGTGGAACTGTGGATCTGTGGCTCTCAACCAGTGCCTTGCAGATGTGTCCTGTGACTTCAGAATCCATTCAATCTTCTTAACCCATTTTCAAGGGACAGCATTTGAACAGAAGAAAGAAAAGATCTTAGACGAAAAAAACAGGAAATCACAGTTATTTAAATATGCGCATTTATAAAGGAAACCTTTAAAAGAATCCCCTAGAGGGACTCCTGCACACACTAACCTTACATTTCAAAGTGGTGATTCCAAGTGGTATTTTAAGCAAGTTTAGAAAACCTGAGAAAAGGCTGAGTTGTACCTGAGATTCACAAAGTTCATTTGCTGCCGGGTCTTGGGCTGGAGAGTTCCAGTCTTAGAATCACCTCAGAGGAGGCCGTAATTACCCAGCCTTATGCTGTGCCATTTTCATTCCTTCCTAATCTTGATCCTCCAGTTCCTCGCTATGTCTTGGGCTCAAAAAGTTAAGTACCGGGGCTGGGAAGGTGGCTCAGTGTAGAGTGCTTGTCTTGCATGCATGAGGCCTGGGTTCGATTTCTCAGCACCACATAAGCCGAAAAAGCCAGAAGTGGCGTTGTGGCTCAAAGTGGTAGAGCACTAGCCTTGAGCTGAAGAGCTGAGGGACAGAACCCAGGTCTAGAGTTCAGGCCCCATGACTGGCAAAAAATCCAAATAAATAAAATAAAAACTAAGTACCTCCACTTTCTCCCTTCTCTGTTTTGCTTGATCTTGCCCCAGTCTTTTTAAGAAAAACTGTTGTTTAGTACATTATTATTTCAGTTCCCATCCAAACTGTTAACTGGACTGACATGAGGCAGTGGGTGAACTAAACAGTAGGGTTCTCCTAAGGAGTGTGCTCAGCAAGACATGGCTGGCCTGAGACACAGTGGAGTGAGTTCAGTTCTGGATGATAAGAGACATACCAATGCCACCTGAGTCCACAGCTGGTTGTTGAAGAACCTGGAGGGGTACATCTTGACCTGGCCTCCTGGATGACAACTAAGCCTGTCGCTACCCTGTGTGGTTATATTAGAACATGAGATAACCAAATACAGCTAAAAACATTACCTGTTTCCTCATGAATCTTCATCCATGAAAGGCGCTTCTGGATTCCATAAAGCTGAGTTCACCCCCAACAGTTAGGAAGATTCTGGACTAATTTCCTTGTCTGATTGCCCTGATTTCCAACATGACCTCCATTTTCCTTCCTCCCTTCCTGATTTTCTTCCTTCTTTTTCTCCCTTACCAATAACCAGCTATGACAGGCTGATTAGGGCAGTGACCCTGTTTTCTCACATGGTCTCCATGATGGGAACATGATCCCTTATCTTTGTTCCAACTGTAACAATTCTGGGCCCCCTGTCATTTCCCTTTATTCTGATTTTTTTCAGACCACTTGTACTTCCCCTCACTCTGTTCAGCTCATACCTCTCTATCCTGGTGATCACACTGCACACACTGGCTGACTTACACACTGGCTACCTCGCTCACGAGGTTACTTGTTTTCTCTTCAGCAGGTCTGAAGCACTCAGCGTTGAGGCCAGGCCTTTGTAAACCAGGTGATTTTCTCTTAGACCACACTGCCCATGGTTGCTTACCCGCCTGTGCCATATTTATTCCTTGTGGTAATCTGTTCTTTATATTTTAAAAACAGTTTTTTTTGTTTTTTACATTTTCCATTGTTCTTTAAAGAATTGTAAAAAGAGCAACAAAAATCAAACAAAACCCTGCCTTCCTCACTGTCTTTATCATAGTGTCATTAGCGTGTCTGAGGCATTCATTTTGTCCACCCAGCACTGAGTCCTGCATTCTGGAAGTTTCCTTTGTGGAGGCCTCTCCTGCAGACAGGCATAAGTTGTCTTCCCATCCCAAACTCCTGGGCCTCTCTGGCATCCGAGATGGAGGTTTCTGCTCCTGTTCGCCTCAGCCTGGGAAAGAATAACCGCGTGCTGAACTGAAGCCCTTGGTTATATTCTCCCCTTGAAATCCTGCTGCCCTTTTCCTTGTTAGGAAAACATTAGAGACAAATCCTCCTTTTTTGGCTAGAAGTTGACTCTCAAATTACTATCTGCTGTTTCAAATTATTTCTTACTTCTTCTGCTAGGTGACTTAGCTCTTCCTGATTTTTCTCATTTAGGGAGCAAATGATAATTTGTAGTTATCATTGTTAGCAATGGCATCAGGATAAATAGCCACTCGTGATATTTCTCTCCATGCTTGCAAAGCAAATTCTAATGTGTCAACCGTTTTCCTGGTCAGAGCAAGGCTCCCGTGACACTGAAGGGCAGACTTGTGTTGGCCTACATGTATGTGGGGCGGGGGGAGGGTGATTCCAGTCCACATGGCATTCCAGCCCATCACACATACATTCTGGATTCTGGCTCTGTCCATTCACTCTGCCACACCTGGCCAGGTACGGAAGACAAGCGCTCAGCGATGGCCCTAGTTGCTCCAGACTCCCCATGACACCTCGCCTTTCACACTGGTGTCTAAGTGGTTTTTGTTGTTGTTTTGTGTTGTGTTGTTTCTATGACAGACACGAGAGTGACTCCCAATTTTGCTGTAGTGAAAGCATCTCAGGAGCCCTTCTCTTAGCATGCAGAGTCAGCTGCACACTTGGGCCAGCTCTAGCCCAGGGCTGGCTTCCCAGCTCCTCCAGTATGTTTCTGAGCATCCCCAGTGCGGTGCTCTGGGAGAGCCATGCCCCAGCCTGGATGTTTTCCAGTCCTTTGCTCCATGACGTCTTACCTCCACTCCATCAGCACCTCTTCCAGGAAGGCTGGCTAAGCTCCATCCATAGGTCGACTCATAGGTGTCAGCTCCTCTTGTCTTCACTTTTGGAGCTGGGTCATAGCTCCATGTGCCTCATGATAGCATATGAACAGCTTCGTATGAAATGTTTGGCTCTGTTTTTTATTTTTTTTCTCTTAAATTTAACCTTCTTGCACCATGCTTACCAGTGTGGCTAATCAGTAAGTGCTGACTGACTGAAGGAAGCCTGTTGATTTTGCATAGACATCACCACCATGGCCATATTTGAATAATTTGCAACCACAGAAGCATTCCTTTTGTCATCCCTTTGCATGGGGTTCCCCCAAATGTTCTGAACTATCTGTCCTTCCTTATTAATTATGTTTTTGGTTGTCAATCAAAGAGTTAAAGAGAGTATTATTTGCTATATATTTAGTCTCGTTTTTAGCATTGAATTAATTGAGCTGGTGGTTCACACATGTTATCCTAGTTACTCAGGGGTCTGAGATCTGAAGCCAGCCCTGACCAAAAAAAAAAAAATCCATAAAATTCTTATCTCCAGTTAAGCAGCAAAAAGCTAGAAGAGAAAGTGTGGCTCAAATGGTAGCATATCAGCCTTTAGCAAAAAAGCCAAACAATAGCAACAAAGCCCTGAGCTTGAGCCCCTAGTACTGGAACACAAATGAACAAAAGAAAAAAGCAATTCATTATGGAAAAGTGTTGTCTATAACAAATAATAGTTAATTATCAAGTAAAAATTGTATAAAATAATGGGTTTCATTGTGATATTTTTATTTACATGATGTAACACACTCGGGTTAAACCTACAAAGAAAAACTCACGCCAATTTGTAGAGTTTCAAATGACCTGATATAAGAGGCATTAGAACATTTTTATGAAAATCCAGGTGTTTATTCTGGAGCCCTGTCTCATGAACAGCTTCTAATAGGTTCCTTTAATTATTTTTCTTAAAGTGTGTCCAGGTAGATTTAAAGCCTGTACTGTAAGTCAGGATGAACTCATATCCTTCAAAAGAAGTTCTATTTTATACTATTATATTGCATATACATTTACCTTTATATATGCTCATGTTTGGACAAGTGTGTAGATACAGAAAGTTTTTGGTCAGAATCTGAGAAGCTTGCTTCTTCATTAGCTCAAAAATTGTATTTCTACTCACAACCCCTCCCCGGCTCAGGCTTGTTAATGTGCTTCTGTGCCTTTCGTTTTTCTCAGGAGGAATGTCAGAACTATATCCGCGTGCTTTTGGTGGGGGGTGAGCGGCTGTTCACCTGCGGGACCAATGCCTTCACACCTGTCTGCACCAACCGCTCGGTAAGGCTCCGTTGTGGCATCCCAGAACTTTCAGGAGAAGATAGACATTGCATTAAAGCCCGTTTTACACACCTTTGCACACACTAAGGAGTAACCTGGCAATTTAAAGATAGCTTTTAAAAAGCTGAATAATATATATTTGACATTTCTAGTCATTTGTCAGTGACATTTAAAAACACCTCTTTAAAAACTGAAGAATATATATTTGATTTACTTCTAGTCAAGTTCATCGGTGATAGAACTAATCAGAAATAATTGTAGCTTATGTAATTATACTTAACTATGTTTCTCACTATTTCAATCAGCATTTTCCCCATCAGTGACCCTAAATATTAATCTACTTTATTGTAGTCATGCCATATTTGAATATGAAAATGGTCTAAAATCACAATCCAAAGGTAGAAAATAAAATTGGCAAACTAGATAAGAACTATGCCAAAAAATAAAGTAAGCATATGCATGGGCCAAGCTAATTTATAAATATTCCTCTTTCTTTTCTAAAATCTGTTGTTATAGACAGAGGAATTTTGACAGGTGTCTATGTAGAAGGAAGACAGGGTGATCAGACATGTATGCCATCCTCCAATTCTGAATATTAATCCAGTTTTCCTTGGAGAATATAATGAGGAAATGCCATTATGCTAATTTCCTGGCAGTACAGCTTTTCTTGAAAATCTTAAATTATCTGGTGTGTTTTATCTTCATTATTTTGAAATCAGCATTCAGTTTTTGTCTTTGAACGAGGAGTAGGAGGAAGATGGTAAATGGGGGCAAAGGGGATGTTCACAGAAAATTACTGGATTCCACACCCTGTTCTAAGTTCCCGTCATCAGTCTCCTCTTCAACATCTACCCCATGAGGTTGTTACTCTTTGGGGCCCTGTTTTACAAAAGGAAAATGTAAGCTAAGAAGTGATTAGGAATTTCCCAAGGACTATATACCCAATAGCCAGGTCAGCAGCGTACCTGTCTCCTCCTTCCTGAATCTTCTGAACTAGTTATTCATTCAGTTTGGGGTCAAGAAACAAATTGATTCGTGACAGGATTCCCCTACACCCAAAGAAATGCGCTCATTCAGGGACTGGCTTGAAACCAACATGTGGGAGCAGGATTCATTCACGATGCTCCTAGTACCTAGGTGCTTTCTTAAGACTGACAAGAGAAGAGGAAATAGGGAACACAGTGTGCTGCATATCCCTTGTATTGACACCGAAGCAGTATTTAGAAGTATTTATAACTTTTTGATTCACTTACGTTGATAAAATTATACCTAGTTTTTCATCGTGACTTATATACCTATAAATAGTGAAGCTGGATTCTTTATGGAGTTGGAATGTAGGCACCACTCATGCATTTTAAATCGATGCCATATATGCAATAATCTCACTTTGAATTTCGTGAGTATTGACAGCATAAGGTTCAGTACCTCTAAAGCAGACAGAGTGACTGATAAATTTTCTATCTATAACTACAGCAAGCTGTTTTCATGCAGTCAGAGAACAGAAGTTTGTCATCTCTCATGAGCTCAAGAGAGCTTGCTCTGAACCTTTTGCTTGGAATTGTGGGATATGAAACCAATGAGACCATTGGAGGGGCTTTTTCTGGAGATAATTGTTTTCCCTTTTCTCTGTATCCACAGTTGAGTAATCTGACCGAGATCCATGATCAGATCAGCGGCATGGCCCGCTGTCCCTACAGTCCCCAGCACAACTCCACCGCCCTGCTCACAGCCAGTGGGGAGCTCTATGCTGCTACCGCCATGGACTTCCCTGGTCGTGATCCCGCCATTTACCGAAGCCTGGGCGCTCTGCCTCCGCTCCGCACCGCACAGTACAACTCCAAGTGGCTCAATGGTAAGCCTTGCGGCCCCGCAAGCTTCACCTCAGGTCCTTGGGACATCTGGCTATTTGGTGTGTATATATAAACATACATTTTCTGCAGGAAAAAGAAAAGGTTTCTTCAAGTTACTAAATAAAGCAAAATGCAACCTGTTGGCTACCAACGATTGGAAGAGCTTCACATGTCTTTCTGGAAGTCAGACATGACATTCTCAACATTGTCGAACATCATAATGGAGTTGATATTGCTAGGACCACTCACCAATATTAAGTTATTTACTGTCATTTCAAGCTTTTTTAGACAGCGTGTTAAAGACTGTCTTGGACTACAGGCAACGCCAAATAGTTTGCGAAGGAATCAGAAATATTAGTGTACTTACAAGGCTAACAGTGTGGGTTAGCCACCTTCAGGGCTTAGTCTAATACCTTAAGAGTTAATAAAGGCCCACATCTTGTCATTTCTTTCTCTTCCATCTACAATCTGTTAGAATTAGAATATCCTGGAAAAACAAGAAGGCCAGGATCTTTGGTGAAATTTTAGGTTGTCTCTAGATGTGGCAGTACCCTGCAGAAGTAGGGCTCACTTCCTGTATCTACTCTAGATTCTTGTTTCTTTCTTGTGTGTGTTTTACACACACACACACACACACACACACACACACACACACACACTCTGCCCCGAGGACTTAACTTAGACCATGAGCACGGTCCTTGGGCCTTTTGTTTTTTTCCTCTTTTTTCTACCACTTTAGCCACAGCTCCACTTCCACCTTTTTTTGGTGATTAATTGGAGGTAATAGTCTTGCCCAGGGGCTGAGAAGGTGGCCCAGTGGTAGAGCACTTGTCTTGCATGCATGAGGCCCTGGGTTCGATTCCTTAGCACCACATAAACAAAAAGAAAAAAGCCTGAAGTGGCGCTGTGGCTCAAGTGGTAGAGCGCTAGCCTTGAGCTGAAGAGCTGAGGGACAGCGCCCAGGCCCAGAGTTCAAGCCCCACGACCGGACCCCCAAAAAAAGAAAATAGTCTTGCCCCGGCTCACTTTGAACCACAATCCTCAGATCTCAGCCTCCTGAGTAGCTAGGATTATGGCTTTGAGCTTTTGGTACCTGGTTCACTCTAGTTGCTTTTCAGAAAATAGAAACTCTCAGCAGGTATCCTTCAGTTCTAGATCAGAGTTCAATTAACTGCCCATTAAGCAACGAAGGGATGGTACCAGTCTACAAGTAGAGGTTGGCATTGTCCAAACACACACACACACACACACACACACACACACACACACACACACACACACACACAGGGTCATTGTCTATGCACTAGGCATAGACAATGCGTCAGCATATTTATACAGAGATGTTCCCTTGCTGTTCAGGCCTACCACTTTTGACTAATTTATTATTTAAGCATAATTATCTTTGTGAATTTATATTTTTCCAAGTAATACAATAAATCAGAATGTGGCAGTTTGCCGTTAGAAGCGTGCGCGCGCACACACACACACACACACACACACACACACAAATTTGCCTAAAAGCAATTGTCCTCATCATTCAGTTCCTCTAGTGAGTGTTGAATGGGAGCTCTACTGTTCCCAAGGGCAATGTGAATGGTTTTCCCACCCTGAGCCCCTGCCTGCATTCTTCCCTTTAGCATCCTTTCTGTCATAATGGTTTGGCTGACTGTCTGTGGAACTCCCCTTATGGCCCTAAACCTTTCACCTGTGGAGCTTAGAGTTGTTCTTTCTACTTACTATTGATTACTCCTGGCCAGAGTGCCGAGTTAAAAATCCACAAAGATTTTCCCCCTCGCTACTGGCCAAAGGCTTTGTAATTAGAATTGACAAACACAAAGTAAAACACAATCAGGAGCACCATCACCTGCTTTAAGAATGTCCTGTAAATAACTGTTCAGGCCATTATCATGAGTTAGAAGAATGGACTGCTGGCTTCTCCGTGCCTCTGGGACTCCTGAGACTGGGCCTGGGTTGACATTCAAGTAACATTCTGAGTCGGGGGGTATCATGAGGACAGGAGGAAACACAGTCCAGTGTTTAATGACCACAATGGGCATGCTCTTGTTGCTGTACCAAAAACATTAATATTTTGCATTACTGCAACAGATTCTTGTGAAATGTCCTATCTGGTAACTTCAAACAGGTATAATTAATTTGAGTTTGGCTCAGTACCGCCCTTCCTGTCAGCCAGTTGTACAAGGCACCAATCAGCCTGCATTCCTCAGGAGAATGCCCGACCCCCTTCCCTGGCTGCACAGGCCAGGCTTCACCCCCAGGGCTGAGAGCAGAGCTGCTGGCCTGCGGCTCTGGAGTCTTGCTCCTGCGGGGCTCTCTATCATCCCCCCTCCTCTGCCCTGGCACACATGATACCGTTTTCCAGTACTGGTTGCCCTCTTCGTTTTTCTAGTTGATTCTCCATCCACGATAGAGTCTGGCCTCTGACCATTGGCCACTGTGTAAACTCTGCTGCTGTCCCTGCTGAGCCTAGACCGGGCACATGTTCTGGACCTGAGAGATTCAGTCCCTACTCACATCCCAGCTTGTCTGCACTGGATGGTCCTCTGTCCAGTCCTTCCTCCTTGCAACTGCCACTTGTACTCCCCCTCCCAGCCCCCAATTCCACCTCACAGGACTCACCTTGCAGTCCCCCGCACCATCTCATGGGCTTATTCTGTGAGGGAAGAGCCGCGTAGTGCAGTAGCCACCAGAACGGAGCTCAGGGTGGCTTTGCACTGAGCTAAGCCTGCTAGTCTCTGCTCTTCCTCCTTTCTACGTTGTTACCCCAAGTCCTCTCCTAGGCCCAGAGACCCTCAGCAGATGTCTTCTGCATCCTTCCCTCCCCATTCTCTTCTCTCTTTCTCCTTTTCTGTTGTTTTTCACTTTTCTTATGTGCAAGAGAAGCAGAAAGAGACAGAGAGATACTGGGGATTGAAAGCAGGACTTGGGGCTAGCCTGGCAAGAACAAGCACATGAGCAAGCCCCTAGTGTGCTTTTGCATATCACTTAGATAATAGATTAATTAATTAACTGGCGGTACTAAGGATTAAATTTAGGGCCTTGAGCTACCTAGGCAAGTACTCTTCCCCTTAAGCCATGCTCCCAGCCTGTTTAGCTTTAGTTCAATTTGTTCAGGTACGGTCTCGTGCTTTTCATCTGTCCTAACAGACCTCAGACCATGATCCTTCTATTTCTGCCTCTCATGTAATGGCTTGCAGGTGGGTCCCACGGTGCCCAGTTGGTGTTTTCCAGATAGATTCTCCCCAACATTGTTTCCCTTCATGTGAACTCACCTCAGATGGCCATTCTCATCCTCGCCGCCTTCATATTTGGGCTTAGAAGTATGCTCCACCACAGTGGAAAGAAAGTGTTGTCTTGTTTGTCTCCTCACATTTTCTTTCAAGGAGTGTCCACCAGGCCCAGTCAAGGATTACCCAGTGTCCAGGATACAGGAACTGGTCAGTAAACTCGTGGTGTCCAAGCTGTGCCTTGCCTGGTACTAAAGGTTAATCTGTAGGGAGTTTGTATTCCATGGTTGGTCCCAAATTGACCAAGTGGTATGAAGGACTCTAATTTGACATATGGAGTAGGTAGTGAGTCCATTTTCTAAAGGTAAATACAGCCCAGTGTTGGTGGCTCACACCTATAATCTTAGATACTCAGGAGGCTGAGATCTGAGGATCCCAGTTCAAAGCCAACCCAGGTAGTAATGTCTGGTAGACTCTTATGTCCAATCAGCTTCAAAAAAAAGAAAAAGCTGAAGTAGAGCTGTGGCAGAGTGGTAGAGGGCTAGCCTTGAGCAGTAGCAGCTCAGGAAACAGTGCCCAGGCCCTGAGTTCAGTCGAGCCCCAGGACTGGCCAAAAAAAAAAGGGGGAACTGTGAACAATCTGCCAGTGTGCCTTTGCTAATTCATGTAGTGATACAGTTGTTAATAAAGACTGATGTGTATCTTCAGGATTCCCATTCAAGTACTTGGCTTCTGACACACATTCCCTTTGATCCTCACAGTAATATTTCATGTAGGAAACAGAAACTGTTTATTTAAAAGTACATGCAGCCAGTAGGTGGAGGTATTGAGCCATGTATACATGTACTTCAACTGCATGTATGTGGTCCATACAGGCCAACACAGACATACAAACATGTATATCTACTGATTACCTATATATCCTCTATATGTCCTGTCTGTGTATCTATCTATCTATCTATCTGTCTATCTATCTATCTATCTATCTGTCTGTCTGTCTGTCTGTCTGTCTGTCTGTCTGTCTGTCTGTCTGTCTGTCTGTCTGTCTGTCTATGTGTTATCTGCTTCAGTTAAAAATTGAAGCAAAAGGCTTTTAGTCCACCATTGGTTTTCAAACCACATAGAAGTACGTAAGTAAATCTAGGCAGTCTTACTAAAACCCAAATGAAATTAGACTTGCTTTGAAAGCTCCTTCAGGGCTGCGACCATGGAAATGAATGCACACTATGAAAGAGGGTTGGCAATTTGTGAGGGGTATAGAAATGTTTTTATGATGTCTGACACCAAAAAATGCAGCAACAGAAGTCCTCTCCCTTGGCTCTATGTCATTTTGTGTGACAGTTTTCTGTTTTGCAAACTTAGCATGGTTGTGTTCATGCTCCATAAATTCTGGTCAGTTTTAAGCATAATGTACCTGTGTTTGGTCATTGTTTATTATTCAATGGAACATTGGAGAGAAATCATGAAATAATAACAGCTACCATTGATTGTGATCTTATTGTGTGTCAGTTCGAGCTGCTTGCAGCCTTGTAAACGGGTCTTCACCGTGCTCATCTGTCACGTGGTTGTCTTGGATGTGTGGCATCAGTGCCTTGGCTTGGGTCAGGCTGTGCAGAACTGCTCCACACGTGGGCTCCCCATCCAGTCTTACCAGCTTCTTGGCCAGCCAGTTGCTACGTGGCGTTTCAAATTCAGAGGTTTCTTTTTATTAATTGGAATTTTTTGTAGAGTTTGGTGTGGTTTTTTGTAGTGTTGGGAATGGGGTTTCTTTCATGTTTTCCTCTCTGTTCTCATGGACTATTTCCTTATCAAGAGCCTGCCTATGATTTGGTCAGTGTGCAGAGTGTGAACCATTTGTACCCAGTGCAGCTTCCCATTGCTGTGCTAATTCGTATAGAGTGGAAGACTTCCCTCACGTACTCTGTGAGTTTCCATGGAGTGCAGTTCTGCCATCCACATGGCAATCGTGATGTAAATGCAGACATAGTCACTGCCTGTGTCTTGATGTATCATTCTTCTTATTCATCTGAAAAATTCTGTAGAACACTGAGCTCAAACATGAGGGGAAAAAACAGCCTCTTCGTTCATATATTTATATATTAGCTGATGTAGCATCACTCTTGGCTTTTTTTCTGAAGTAGTTAGCAGCAGACTTTTCATTTGTTTGTAACAAATGCCAAAAACATCTGAAAGATGGCTCAGATCTATCTTTCATATACTCAGATCCACTGTAGACAAGAAAGCAATGCCTGATTTATAGCTTGTTCCGTTTGTTGAGGAGTGACAGATTGTAGTTTGGAGTGAATTGCATTTTAACAAGAGGCAGAACTTAAATAAGGGAAAGAAAACAATAAGTATTTCCTGTCTTGCCTGCTGAGAATCTAACATCCTCTTCCTCCAGATTTATATCTGTAAATACCGGAGATCCTTGACTGTCTCTTTAACAGTCATTCCTGCTTTTGTACTGTCTTTGAAAAGAAACAAGATGCTGGCTCAAGTCTAAGAGACTCTGCTTTCCAAGAAATAGAACTTCAGGTTTAACAGCAGGTCACACAGGCAGGGACCATCATCATGCTAATGGATCACTGTGGGGGAGCAAGAGGTTTCCAAATGCAGTTTAGTTCCCTTACCAGCACAGTCTCTGCTGCACGGTGAATTTCGGAGCAATCTATCCTGCTCAGGGAACACCGGTGTGTAAGCATTTCTATCTGAAATGGACACAGCCACCTCCAAGGTGGGTTCAGAAGTTGGAAGAGCTGGTGGAAACTGTGTGTTCAAGATGGAAGCCACAGGCCAAACAGCTTCTCACGCTTCACTGTTCCCGTTCTTTGAAGATTCTGCCCCAGAGACAGTTCCGCAGAGTGGACAGTGGTCATAAATATTTCCTAAAGGTCAATTGATGGCAGGCCAAGTTGATAGGGGGAGGTTTGAAGCACAAGCCCTGGAGTTACCCACACACTTCTCAAAACGCTCTTAGTTATTAAGTTCTTGATTTTTTCTAAATCTCTCCAGCCTTTTCTTCTTTCTGTCTCATTCTTTGTTTCATTGCTGTGAATGTTTCCTTTCTCCAATTATCTTCTCTTCTTCCTGGTTCTAAAACCCTCCACAGGTGCCTGAGTATACCTGCTTTCCACTCTCAAGGAAAGGCCATGATTCTCCACCCAAGAGCAGTGTCTAGACAATTCAGTCTTATTTTTCAGTAGTAATAGGGTAATGCTTTGTTTCCTTTTCAGTGCAGTGTGACAGCCGTGTGCATGGTCTCGGAGTAAGAAAGTCTAGGTCAGGACATCCTCTAGCCATTCCTGTTTGTCACTGCATAGAGCCTCAGGGATTGCCTGTCCTCAGCTATGAAACAATGGGAAGAATCATATGGCACTGGCTGCTCTTGGTTTTGTGTGTGAGTTTAGTAAGCACCATGGACAGCTTAGAACAATAGTCTCATGACCGACCTCCCATTATTGCAGTACAGACTTGGCTTGCCAGTAAGAATCCTTGAACCTTTGTGTGTTTTGTGATGTACTTGACAATTCTTTTTACCTTAGTTTCACTGTCCTGCTCAAGCGTCCTTACATACTAGAGCTCTTTAGCATTCAGCTTTCATGCTGCTAGTCCCCAGAGTATTAACCGGAGGGACAATTTGCCGTGGTACTTTAGAAATCTCAGCAGAAACTGCCTCATACTTTATGGACATGCGCTAATATCCAGAGTCTAGCCTGCGCATATTTATGTTCAGATATTTGCTGCTGCTGTTGATGGTGATGATGGTGATGATGTTTTTTTTTTTATTTGTTTCTAGTATGATGTTCAAACTATAATCTAGTTATATGAGCTAGGATACAGCACTCATTTTGAAATGGCTTAGCCTTCTCTTTAGAACTAAACATCCAAGTAGGTGTTTTGTGTATAACATGAGTATAGTTTTGTTGTTGTTCCTTGTGTTTGCGTTAGGGTTCTATTTCTGCCCGTTATTCTCCTTGAGAGATTCAAAGTAAGCATAGATTTTAAACTATCCTAATTTTGTAAATGACCTGGATGCCCAAGTTTCAGATATCACTCACTGTACTTCTGTGCTTTCTTCAAAGACCTAAGGATAGCGGGAACAGCAAATACATCTAATATACAACGTACACATTTTACCATAGTTAAGTTGTTTTTTTTTTCTTTTCCAGTTCTGGAGATTGAATGTAGGACTTCTGATGAGCTAAGCTCTATCACTGGAGCACACCCCAAGTCCTCTGTGTTTTGTTTTTGACATTCATTTGCTACCCTTTTCCTTGCTGGTCTTCCTGATTCCATCTTCAGAGTAACTCAGGTTAAACTCAACTACCACCATGTCCAGCCAGGAATTGTTCTTTTTTTTTTCTTTTTTGTATTGTTTTGTTCACTTAAGTACCTATTTCAGGTTCATGTGTTAATAATCTAAGACTATGTTTGATGAAATTGTCTGTTACTTGATGTCCTTATGTGGTCTGAGAACAAGTCACATATGTACATGAGCAATGTACTGGTGAATTGCTCTCATATAGTAATTATCTCTGGAAATGTGTCCATAGATAGAACTATTTTTGTATCTTTCCATTAATTTTGAACATGAAAAGTTGTATAATTATCCCAACTGTACCATAAAATGAAGGTACTTGTTAGATGACTTTGATGCCTTTAGAGAAAGGGATAAGAATCAAATTTAGTCTTATTAGAGTTTTTAAACATAAATATTAGGTCATGTGCCCAAAGGTTATATCATCAAGGGACTCAAAAATGAAGTTTGGAAAAAAAACATCAAATGATATGTTTAAAATTCAATTGATAATCTATATTTCCTAATTCCTAATGAGTTTGATGGTTAAATAAAGGTGCTGCTATAGGTTTATCATTTCTAAATTTCGGGACTCAGCCAGTTATGAGACCAGAAAACTTCATGGCAGTGATCTATTTCAATACTCTTCTGCCTCTCAATATATTTCCCCAGAAACCCAGAAATAAGAAAATAATGCTCGATTCTCATAATTACATGGTCACTGTAGCGACATGGAATGATCAAGCTAATTCAAGGCACTTGCCTTACAGGCTGAGTTTTTCACTATGTTGTCACTGAGGAAAACTATTTTAAATTCTTACTAAAATCCATGAACCATGTTAAAATAAAATGCATGATATGTTTCATCTTTTTTGTTTTTGTTTTTTCCAGTCACGGGGCCTGAACTCTGGGCCTGGGTGCTGTCCCTCATCTCTTCATCTCAAGGCTAGCACTCTACCACTTGAGCCACAGCGCCACTTGTGGTTTTTTCTGTTTATGTGGTGCTGAGGAATCAAACCCAGGGCCTCATGCATGGAAGGCAAACACTCTATCACTGAGCTACCTTCCCAGCCCTCATCTTTTAAAGTATTGTTTTTCCCTCTGTTTCTGTAGTTTGTGCAAGAGTTTCCAAATAAAGTTATATAAGTCGTTGCAATTTGATCTGTGAACCTTGGCTGCTGTGGTTGTAGTGTCATGTTATGTTTTATGCTGATTTATCACAGGATTCTTGGATATGGAATAACATTGTTGGATTTCTCGTCGTTTACAACTTGTACATGACTCTGGGTTTCGGAGCAGAGCAGATGGTTAAGCCTCTTTGGGGGCCTCTCATGTGTCCTTGTAAGAGACGATGATATCTAAACCAAACTGCGTCTCTTTGGAAGAAATGCTAGGCAAGCATGATCAATGATACCATTCTGATGATGAGATTTTTTTTTCTCTTCTTCTTTTCCTGTTCTTTCCAGAGCCAAACTTCGTGTCCTCTTATGATATCGGAAATTTCACCTACTTCTTTTTCCGAGAAAATGCTGTGGAGCATGACTGTGGGAAGACCGTGTTCTCCAGAGCTGCCCGCGTCTGCAAGAACGACATTGGAGGCCGGTTCCTGCTGGAAGACACCTGGACCACATTCATGAAGGCCCGCCTGAACTGCTCCCGGCCTGGAGAGGTGCCCTTCTACTACAACGAACTGCAGAGCACCTTCTTCCTGCCCGAGTTGGATCTGATCTACGGCATCTTCACTACCAATGTGTGCGTAGCTAGAAAGAATGCCTTTCCCGTCCCGTTACTCATTCTGAATGAGTCTTTGGCTCGTTGACCTCTGAACATTGCTTCAGAGGAGCTCGTGCTTACTTTTCTGGGCCCACAGCCAAAAAATAATAAACAGAGACGTTTCTGTATGAATTAAATATTAGAAAAAGATAGGCGCTTGGTGAAAATGGCATTAGGAAGATAAAGCTTATTGAAATCTTCGAGTAAGCATATTATCAAATGGTTCTATTACAAATTACTTCTTCCTGATTTGTGAATGGGTTCTAGGCACTTCCTAAGATACTGGCATGTATTAGACGTCTTTTCTTTTCTGTAAATACATCGTGCATTTGTGTACAATGAAGGCACCATTGTCTGCAAAGCCTGATCTTCAGATAACATAATGCTTGCCTGAACCTCTGCTTTTATGTGAATGGCACATTCGAGTTTTCCCAGAACTGTACTTTAAACCATGTTCTGGAAGACAGCTAACTTGGTCGTATATTTTCTTAAATGACAACTTTACTTACAAAGTGTTTTTGAAAACATTATAGTGTATTTTTTTTTCCTTTGGGATAATATTCCTAACATCAGGGCAGACGGGATTTGGACTGGGCAGTGTTGCTGAAGTTCCCTGAGCGCTCATCTTCTCTTAGATGAATAGAATCTCTGCCGACCCTGCATTGATTTCCCATCTGTGGCGGGTGCTACGGCAACTCAGTGAGGACAACTGCCTCTTCTCGAGCACCCGTAGGCTCTGGGGACGCTTCCTTACACATCAGTTATGCTGCTTCTCACCCTACCATGGGGTTCTGATTCCAATCCAGAGGCCCAACAACTCAGGCAAAAGTCAACCATTTGTGTCTAATGTAAAGGATCTATTCTAGATGTGTAAGAAATGTGGATCAATTAGGTAGGTGGCCAGGAGTGCTGCCTTCCCCGGGATTATCCCAGCTTTACCATTGATGGCTGTACTGGTCCTTGGAAATTGTAGCCCTGGGTGAACAAGACAGTAAGTAACCCTGTGGCACTACCCACACATTTTTATTTAGTTTACTTTTTCATGTCTTGCTTCAGAAGCCTACAGTGCAGTCCTGCAGTCCCTGCCTCTTTCTTCCTTGTCTTTCTGGCCCATTGAGCATGTCCCATTTCTGTGGAGTGTTCAAATTCCTCGGTTGAGAACATTCTTGCCACCAGCTTCATGCTGAGAAGACGCAAGGAAGCGAAGTCCACTCCACAGTCCCTGTCCTCTGCTTTTCAACATCAGAGGTCATTTTTCCTCCTTGAGAATTTGCTTTAAAAAAAAATCAATTTATGGTTTCTAAAGTTAGTTTTCTCTTCCATAACCTTGTTTAAGAAATAGTGTGGGCTGCACAAGATGAATGTTCTGTTGCTCAGTTGACATCAATTTTCCACACAATGGGAGCTTGGCTTACCCAGCTATCCGTTCCCTGAGCAGAAAAAAATGCCAACAACAAAAACACCAGTTTTAAAAGTTCTGTAAGTGCCATGTCCAGACCATTCCAAGATGGTGAATAGTCCATTCAGACCGTGGTGAGAGAGGTTCAGACAATCTTCGATACCTCTTCAGTGTTGCAGATGCACCCTATGCCAGAAGTCACCCAAAACATAGCTTATTTGCTGACAGATAAAATCACATCGCTCCTCTTCTTTTCAGCACTTATTCTGCCTAGGTCTTGGGAAGACATTTCTGACCCATCATCTCTTAATTCCACAATACATCTCTCCTCTCCTCCTTTTCCAATCTTGGTTTTTATTCTCTCCATAAATGGTCGAATTCCTGATCAAACTTGCTTTAACCTGAAAGAAGATAAGATTAAAGAAAGCAGTAATTTCGTATCTCTGAATCATTGTGATTTGGAGTTTCAGTTTGCTTCTATATTTGGTTAAGTGTTTCTAGCATTAGAAGGATGGAGGGAAAAGGAGCTTTTCGGTCCACTCTATCCTTGTGCCTATGTGATTTTTCTCTCCCCCTTAGGCTGTGATTGGGCTGCAGGACATAATGTGCTACTGTGATGGATGTTTTTAAAGTTTTTTGAATATCTAAAAAATATTGTCTCACCACTATAGATGTATACAGATAAAATATATGGCAACAGCATGTTTTAGTATTTGTAGATAGCTATCTAGATTGTAAAGTTGGAGTGACGGTTGCTGAGGAAAATTTTTTGATTGTTCATCTTTCTTAAGGAGAATAAATAGTGCAAGAATTAAATAAAAACTCTTTCTCCCCCTCTCTCTCACACACACACCACATATACATACCAATAGGAGCACCTTTTCTAAGCTGGCTTCAAGTCAACTTCAAGTAGAAGCAAATGTTCATTTCCTCTGTTGCTTGGCTCACTAAATAGATTTCTTGAAACTTTTTCCCTCTACCCTGGTTAGAGACAAGTTAAACAACTAAATGAAGGAACGTGATCACTTGATTGTTATTTGAAGCCATCTTGGTACTGATGGAAGTACCTCATTAGCTTACAAATGTAAGCTCATTTGAGCTTACAGATACTGCCCTCAGCTTTAAGCAAAAGGGCAAAGTAGCCTGGAGTTGGAGTGACTTCCTCTGCATGTAGGGAGCCGGGGGAAACGATGGCTGCATCCTTCCAGCATGTGGGTCCATCCCCAGAGGTGGAGGAGGGACAGAGAAAGGGAGGGATACGCGCATCAGGCATGCCCTTCCTCCCTGGCCCTCTTAGGGCAAGTTAAGCTTGGACTAGGCAGCAACAGAGAATGGCTGCATCCCCACTCACCAGGAGTAGGTAGCGGTCCCCACACACCAGGGAGGAAGCTGCAGCTACTGGAACATCCATGGGACTCTCTGGACTAGAGCAGAGCCTCAAGTGGCTGATTCAGAGCCATGTGAATGGAGTGGTTCTGATAGGAAGGGAGTTAGGTTCTTCTTTAATCAACAAGCGTCATGGCGAGACTGTCAAGAGCATGAGGTAAGACAAGTTCAAATCCTGCTTCACCTCAGATAGCCTGTGACTGGGCTCAGCACCTTCTCTGTGCATTTGTTTGCTCATCTGGAAAGTCAGAACCTTAGATCTGTAGCCTCTTTGGGGAACAATTAGATTGTCCCTGCCAGGTCCTTAGAAGAAGACCCCCACACGCATGCCACTGTATTTAGCCAGAGAGAGTGGCCACTGGGGAGAATCTTAACTCTGTGTCTGGCTGTTCTTGATCCAGCACTGTTGGTTTCTTGTTGTTACTGAAGTGTAGTTACATGTCCAAAGGCTGTTGTCTCCCTGTACTTGTGTTCTTCTTTACCAATGTATTGAAATAGGACACTAGTATGAAAGTCTATGTGTAGAGCCTACCTCTCTCCTGCACTGGTGCCACTGGGCTCACATTGGTCCTTGTTGGTGCCAAGATAAACCTATCTCTGCCCTCCAGGGCTGGCCTAGAGATGTTCTCTCCTCCCCTTTACCTCTCACAAAGAATGCAAGTCTTGGTCTTTGGAGCCGGTCAGGACTCATGTGAATGAATGTCCCCAGACTGTGGCCAGGTGGCTTGCCCTCACCAAGTCTGCCTCATTTTTGCTTTCTGTAAGTTTTTCTGACCTTAGTAAGAAAGAGGACAGTCTGTAGTGTAGTATCTTGCAACTACTTATTGTCAGATGAACAAAATACCATAGTTCTGGAATTTGCAATTTCCCTTTTGATATAGGAAAAACATGATGTAAGTAGACATAGTACCAGTTAGAATATTAATATGAAAATTATATACATACTCCTTTCAATTTCTCCTTTTCCCTGTGAGATCCACAACGAAGCTTAAAAATGCAAATTTAACCCACAATATTTGCTTCCAATTTCCATTCATGTCAAAGGGCACTGACTTTCTAACGCCTCCCATTTATGACTCTTTCTGAAGTACTTGAATTCTAAATTAAAGCTTCAGATTTTTATATGTCAGTGCTAATGTCAAAATTGTTTCCTACTTGATTCTTTGGATTTGTCGTTTTACAAAAATATATAAACAGTCTGACAGGCACTCCTTGCAAAAATCTTTGAGCTGATTATCTTGTGAGGAACGACAAATAAACACAAATCTCTGGAGATTTAAAAGAAAATGACTGCTGCCAGCTAAAGCCACTGAATAAGTAAATGCACCTGGGATCCATGTAAGACTGATACAGACGCTCTCTCCCTCGGAGGAGAAAGTCTTTTCCTTCCAGAATTTAACACACAGATCTTCAAAACTTCTTGTTTCCCCCAGTTCAGTAGCTGAAATCAATCCCCCTGGTAGATTACCAGTATCAGATCTGTTGACTCTCCTTGTTTTAATACCAAAATATGTTCTTCTTCACAAAGCAATCACAGGAAAGGCCCATTCAGTGCTCTGACCCTATTTCTTAGGATGTTTAAGGGGCTGTGGGTTTGAGGCATCTTGAAGGTGCCCAGCAGAGTGGCTGATGGGTGGACGGTGGAGGTCTCTGCTGGGCTCTCTCATCCACCTCTTCCTTTCTCTTCCTCATCCTCCAGGAACAGCATCGCTGCCTCTGCTGTGTGTGTCTTCAACCTGAGTGCCATCTCTCAGGCCTTCAATGGGCCCTTCAAGTACCAGGAGAACTCGCGCTCGGCCTGGCTGCCTTATCCCAATCCCAACCCCAACTTCCAGGTAAGCTCAGGGGATCAGGGTATTCTGGAAAGTCCCTATGCAGAATTTAAAGCTTTCTTTGGAGATTGAGACACTGAAACCTGGGTGCATGCATTGTGCAGCTGCAGTTCTCCTGGGCTCTTGAACACAGCCCTACAATATACTTGGCTGATGAAAACAGACCAGTCCTTTTGTCAACTATGGCGCCTGGACCAAAAAGGGCCTTTTGTTGAGTTGTGACGCCTGATGGTGAACTGAAAAAGGCCAGCCTTCTGCAGTGGGCTAAGAATCTGGGCTTCAATGACTACTAATGATGAGATTCTATGTTCCCAGGATTGCTGGTCCCTAATGAATGATTTTCCAAAGAATAGGGCCAAGGGCACAAAGCATTGGAGATGCACAAACAGAATTAGAGTTCTAATTGGTAGATATGGCAAGGCTTCCTGCAGGGAGGGCAGAATGCAGTTGTGGCAGATGGAGAATTGAAGCAGAGCTGAGGGTCATCCACCCTCCGATGACAAAATTCCAGTGTTCTAGCTGTAAGGGACTCAAAATCACCTTGTCTCAGCATCCAGAAGAAGCTGAGACTCAAAGATGAACCTACTTACATTTGAAGAGTCAGCAAGTGTATACATCTTCTTGGGCTGCTGTAACAAAAGGGAAAATCTTTGGGTGGCTCTTAAACAGTTGATAATTCTCTCACAGTTCTGGAAGAAATATGTGTGAGGTTATTTAAACAGGTTATTTGTAATGACCACCTTGTCATTGTGTCCTCCTATGCATGGAAGGAAAAATAAAATATCTCTGCTCTCTTTTCTTCCTTTATAAAGTCACCATTCCAGGGAACTAGAGCACCCACCTTATGACCACATTTAACACTAATTACTTCCTGAAGACCGATCTCTGAATACAGCATTTAGGTAGGACACAAAAATAGAATCTATAAAAGCAGTCTCCTTCCCTACAAGCCTTCTTTGCTGCCAACACATCTATACCCACCACTGGTGCAGTGGTGATAATTTTCAGAACCCTCAAGTTCTGATGCTTGTGCTAGATGCTTTACATATGAATCAACAACAAACTGACAGCAGTGCATTACGGGCAAGATTGCACCTCACACAGAGAAGTCCACTGAACTTCAGGACAGATGGGTTGAGACCACCACCTTCACCCTCAAATACGAAGTCCCCACCAATCCAACACAATGACTCCTAGTAACCATCATTATCCAGCAGGAAGACCGCTCCTCCGAATTCTGTTTAAAAGATTTGGCAAGTGTCATTGGATTATAATTGAGGGTTTCTTTGGCTTGTTTTAAATGTCTTTTGAAAGAGTAAGGGATTGAAATAACATGAAAGTTTTACATGTTACCTACCTTTGCCACTTTGCTTGACAAAACATTGGCCCATTTCTCATTTGTACTTTCTCCATTAAGATGAGGGAAGAAATGATGCAAACACATATGAATGTCAGTATAATTCCACTGCACATTATTTACTTCCTCATGTATTTGGCACCCTTGGGAATACTCTATTTGGTGTGAATGTATACTTTGTCTTCGTTAAACAATAAAATATATCATTCCTTTTCAGAAAACCCCTTGTAAAATTAGGAAGGTTAAACTATTAATGATGTTTCTTGTATTGGGATTCATTATTCTATTCTATTGCAGGAGTTTACAATGAGTGAAATGATCTTTCCTACCTCCATGCAGAGGATAATATAACTTTTAGTTCATTCATCTCAATGTAATTTTAGCACTAGCACATCCTCATTTTCTGGGGCTCCCAGTGTCATACTGAAGGAGGTGTTTTGGTTTGTTTGGAGGTGGTGGGTTGTTGGGTTTGGGGCATTTAATGGAGGAAGCAGGTCTGTACTGCATAACAAACAAGATATGCAGAAAGGTTGTATGTGGGCATGCACTTCAGGCAGGAAACTTCTTCTTTAGATGAGTTAGTCTGCCTTTGATGGATTTAAAACTTGGGGAGAACTAAACTTACAACTTATGGTGCTTGTCTGTGTAATTCCTATACAGACACATATTTTCCTTTGTAGTTTCCTCTGTATTTAATAGCTATATTGGCATAGGCATGCTGACTGACCTCCACGAACTCATCTAGGAACAGCACAGTATGGGAATTCATTTTGCACCAAGGATCTCTCCGTCAAAAATGCATAAAAGTCTTGATTTTGCAATGACCCACAGTGAAAATGGCTTAGCATCTTTGTATTCTTGATTTTCCTATTGACATTTAGAATTTCATGTAGCATTAATAGCAAAAGTACGCAAATCTCAATTGAAAGCAATGAAAAAATGACAGAAAGCTACCTTTACATGTGGAACTTGAAACCTAGAATGTTTCGTGGGTGCTGTGTAAGTATCTGTGTGAGCAGACATTTTAGTCCCAAGTCATACAGTCATTGAGCTTTATACGAACATCCCCAGCCACTAAAAAATATTGTCCAGACCCAGTTTCACAACAAAGGGGAGGCTGCCAACCAGAAATAAATCCTCTCGGATAGGAAAACAAAACAAAAGGGCTGCCCTGGAGGAGCTAATGCAGAAATGCATCTGTACGCATAGGAGTATCTATAAACGTATCTATAGCCTCAGGAGTCCTTCATACGAAGTGCATGTTGGCAGAGAGATGGAGGGAACAGGGAAGTGAAACAGGTGCCATGGAAACCGCCTGGTAAGGTGAGATCCGGTTTTGCCAGTGTGGTTGGACAGGATAAGCCTGCAGATCGGAGGATCATAGTTCGAAGCTAGCTGGGGCAAGAAAGTCATGAGACTCTAATCTCCAATTAGCCATCAAAACCCCAGAAGTAGAACTGTGGCTCAAGTGGTAGAATACCATCCAGTTCCTGAGCTCAACCAACCCCGGCTCCCCCAACACACTTCATAAAATAATTACCTTCTTATTTGAAACAGTGTTGGTATGACAACCATGTTGGTAAGCCTTGTGAGGGCAAAGGCTATACTTTTTCCATTTTTATTGTTTTCCTGTTGCACAGGATCCTCAGGGTTCTACAAAGTGCACACACAGAAACTGTACATTATAGGCACAAGTGGAGAGTTCACAGTTCTGCAAGAGCTTGGTGAGTTGTTTGTTGGCCAATAAATACATCCTATAAACTGGAATAATTTCAAAATCCTGGGAACAGAATCTCCAGATGGGGTACTTATCATAGACTGGTATCAGACATGAAGAAATGATAAAGAATATTTCTAATGTCTTTCTTGGCCTTATAGGCAGATACCTTTAGAGGGACATGGGCCTCAGGAATAAATAAGAGTATTAGATGTTCTTGCCAGGCACTACCAGTTCCAGACTGCTCTCAGTTCAGATTCCTTGAGGGAAGTGGGAGATTTTTGCCTTCGTGTTTTCAGAGTGCCAAAGTTTTAAAAATACCATGTGCACCAAATAATACATGTGTGCAAACTTTGACCGATGACAAACACAAATCTAAGCTAGTGCTCACCTGCACAGATATCACCCGAGCCCAGTGGAGGGCTTGCGGAAATGGAACTAGGTAAATCGTGAGGATGGGGGGGGTGTTGGTCAACATGGAAGAGACTGATGAGAGGGGGTGATGCTGATCAAGATGCACTATACTCACAAACTGACATGAGGAAACCTCTTTGGACAGCTACTTAAGGACAATTAGAAACTGCCAATAGGCAATGTCACCATGCTCCAAGGATTGTTAAATATTATTACATAAAATCTTCTTGTGCAACCTCTCCCTGCCTCCCTTCCCCCCCAGGCATGTATGTTCACACACAGACTCTGTTCCTTCTTTGTCCACTCACCATTTCCATGTGTGCTCTTCAGCTCCGTGGGCCATGGGTTTGCTGGCCTGCTTTAAGACAAATGTATTTAGAATTTGCCATTGGTTGGAAGACGTCTCCGTGCCAGGTGCTTCATCTTGTTCTTTGGCATCTACCGTGACTTTCATTTATAAATTATTTCCACTGTCCTCACATCACCACTGAGAATGGAGCAGAGTAATTTTCCCAGCAACTTCACAGACAGAAGACAGAGGCAGAAAACCAACCTACTGAGATGATGTGGCCCTAGAGTCACATCTGAGCTATGAAGGTCATCTGAGGCAGGTTTGAGCCTTTGCGTGAACTCACACAGTCTCCTCATATGATGCCCTGCATGCCTGCCCTGGTGTGGTTTCAATGTATGAAATCCATTTAGTTCCAAGATTCCCTAACTCTTTGATGGGCCTATCACTTTATGGCATGCAGTATTTTATCAAATGCCACAAAAAAATTACTATTCGTTTAAAAAAGCATTGTCCCTCTGTACTCTCGTTAGAAATAACGTACGGATACTTAAAAGTGGTCCTTAGTGCCTTGCTCTTAGACATGGCTGCTGTTGTGGATTGTCACTTCATTGCTATGACAAGTCAAATAGAGTAAAATCTCTGTACGTAAATCTTTTGACACTACTTGTAGTTACCCATTTAGGTTAAATTCCTAAAAGAAGTACCAGTGATAGAGATCGGTAAGTTCCGAATACTTGTTTTCCAGGAAAAGTATGGTAATGTGCATTTGTTCAGCTAAATGCTACGTCCATTTTAGTCAACTTTTTAATTATTGCTAAGTGCACAGTTTGAAAGAATCATTTTAATATACCCTTACAAACATGGCTTGGAATTCTTGTCTTCTGGCTTTATACAATTTTGTGATATTAGCCAGCTATCTGTCTAACTTATTGCAAGTTTTCTTAGATATATATTTGTCTTGATATGCATATTGTTGGTAATCTGCATTGTATCACTTCTTAAATCCCTTTTCTACTGTTTGCAGTGAAGTTAATCTCTCAGATATCCTGTTACTTCTTTGATATAAATAATATCCTACCATTTAAAAAAGCCTTTCTCCATGTTAAAAAAAAAATCATGTACTCTTGTACCTCTAATCTCTTACAAAACTAAGTATTAAAAATGGCATGTTGTAATTGGTGGTGTCATGAAGGATGGCCTCCGACTTACCTGAAGTTCTGTTGAGGGTCAGTCACTTATGTGTAGCAGGATTTAAAATCTGTATTAAAAATGAGAAAGATAGGTGGTAATTGTCTGATTCTGTGCTGGCCTCCAGAGTGCCGTACTTCCTCTCTTACTTTCTTTGAACCTTGGCTTTGCCAGAAACTGTCATACATAACACCTGCTGACCTCTTGTAGCACAGCCCTGAGTTTAATTCTCAGCAATTTTCAGGCCTGATTACTCCTTCTTGGTCCCAGCTTCTACCGCATGATGTTTTTCTACTTGAAAATTGAGCCCTTCTGGCTTCTTCCTTGGTTCTTCTTTCTTCTCCTTTCTTCCTTGCCACTCTCTTCTCACTCCTCCCTCTGCTCTTCTTTGTTACTTTGTCTTATCTTCTTTTCTCATTTTAGATGTATACATTGTTTCCTAGATCTAACGATGCTTTTTTATTTCTTCTAGCAGAGACTATAAGCACAGAGTCAAGCTTTTATAGTTAAATTATGTGATAGCACATCATGTATAGATAGAATATAGCTTAAAATATAACTTCTGTTGTCATGGGATAGATGTTTGCTTACAAACCTACAGCTGCAATAGGACAACTAGTGAATCTGTGTTATGTGTGGGATTGCTTCATTTCCAGCATGAGACTGCTTTGTCAGACATGTATCATAGTATGCTTTAACCAGACAGCTCCCAAGAGAGCCAACAGACAATGAAGAGTAAAGTCAGTAACAACATCCACCATACATTAAAACCCCTGATCAGATGATAGTGGAGTTGAGAGCTTCCTCACACGTGGCGTGTTCACCTGTATGTTGGGAAGACCTGAGAGGCGGGAGGTCAGGGCAAACGAAGACGTAGAGAGCTTTCGCATTGACTCACATGTTCAGCTTAACCCAGTTTGCAGTCACCCTCCAGCTGGGCTGGCTGCATTAGTGGTGGCGTGGTTCCGGTAACACAGCCTGTCTTTCTTTGCAGTGTGGCACCGTGGACCAGGGCCTGTACGTGAACTTGACAGAAAGAAACCTACAGGATGCTCAGAAATTCCTTCTGATGCACGAGGTGGTGCAGCCAGTGACACCAGCGCCCGCCTTCATGGAAGACAACAGCCGCTTCTCGCACGTGGCCGTGGACGTGGTGCAGGGCAGAGACACCCTCATCCACATCATCTATCTGGCCACAGGTAGGGGCCTCTATTTCCTCCAGGCAGCTGGCTTCCATCTTCTTATCTGAGGCCTTAACTTCTAATCGTTCCGTTGAAATCTCCGTGTTGAGTGTGTCTCGCCTCCCAGTCACCAGCACCCAGGATGCTGGCTTCACCTTGTCTTCCTTGGTGCGTCGTTTTTAAAATCCTAATTTCACTCTTTTCTTGGACTGTATCAGTCATGATTTGTATCTGAGAGAGAATGCCTTCTGCTTTAGCTACTGCTTCTCAGCCACTCATAGAAAGTATCTTCTTGGCAAGACCCCTCTAATTTAGGTCACTCAAGACAACAGAACGCTTTGCTTCAGTCTATTGCTGGGTGAGGTATTTTACTGAAATTGTCATGGTTAGTTCTGATTGTTGTAAAAGATATGCTCACAGCAAACTATTCCTGCTTTATGAAAACATTTGCGGAATATAGTTTGGAGCATAAATAGCACAATATTTATAGCCAACGTAGAGAGCAATGTATGTTAAATGGATAATAAACTATTCAGATCCCCAAATCGGTTTAGTGTCGATGGCACACATAGCCTAGGACCTGGGCAGTCCCCAGATAGTTACTGGTGTCTCTCCATCCCAACTCTTGTTCCAGCAGCTTCTATGATTTTTACTTTCTCACAATGCATAATTTCCTTTCTTACTGCTATGGTCAAAAATATATCTTTTTTCTGACAAAATATTCTTTTATTTATTGTTTTCTTTTAATTTACTATCTTTGAATATTTTAGTATGTTTAAGTTTTATTTATATATTATCTTGAAGTGTCAATTCAACATGTCAGCTTGTGGGTTCAGTTCATCTTGATCAGTGTCACCCCTTCCATCCTTCTCCTCCATCTCTCCCAACCCCACCCATCCCTTCAGTTTGCTGGTTCCATTTTTCACCCACGTACTTTGGTTATGGTAACTGTATTTGCTCACCTAGATCTTTTCTTGATACAAGCTCGCAGTTCATATTAATATTCGTCAGCACATTTTGCTCATGAAGTTGCATTGTTGAATTTTCACTGTCTGTGCAGTCCATGTGAAGCACTGAGTGGATGACGGGCAGCCTGGCACCATTCTGCTCTGCCAGGCTCACACTCAGAGCATGGGCAGATAACGGACCAACTTGTAACTAATATGTATCAGCAGTAGGGTGATGTGGAGATGTTGCAGGGGATGGAAAGAGGAGAATGGAATGGCAGATCACAGGCTGGATCCTAGGCTTGATTGGCAAGGTTCCACTCTGCCAGTGCCTGGTGGTTAAGCTGAGCCTGGAGGAAACAGTGCATTCTGAAATAGGCTGGGCTGGTGATGAGGACAGATGTGGCCTTTGGATGGGTAGGTGAGATGGATCGGGCCGCTACTGCCTGGGAAGGCCACTCGTGTCTGGGATGAGAGGGGTTTCCGTCATGTGGAGAGTTCGTGGAAACATCTTGTAGCTGAAGCTACAAGATGAAGGTGTCGGTGAAGGAGAGAGAGGATGAGCAGGTGTGTGTACGGATGGCAGGGGAAGTCAAGGAGGGCATTTTTATTCACCTTGTTTAACTGGTTTAGGAAAGAAAAAGGAATTACCATTGAACTGTATGGCTCAACAGACTGCAGATAGTGGCTGTGCTTTTTTTCCCCCTGTCACTTTTGTCCATAGTGTTCATCATAAATGATCAGGATAGTATCACAGGGAATAGGGCTCTCTCCTTGAACGTTTGGAGGAAGGCGAGCTCTTCACCAGCTCCTTGGCGGTGGGGGATGGTGAGGGTTATGTTACTGATCATCACTGCTAGGTCCGCCAGAGCAGTTCTCTACCCCAGCCTTCTGACCTCTTCCCACCTGAGAGAGTGTGGAGGTGATGTCTGTCTTCCTTGTGCTTGTAGTGATCTATAGTGAGCTCTGCTAAGGCCTAGTACAACTCTTCCATTTTAACCTCAGTGAGATCCTTCATCATTGCTGGTTGCTAATTTTACAAGAATGCTACCCAGAGAGAGTTTAATGACAGCCTAAATCGCTCAGCATTCTGGAGTCTAGGTCCGACATTAAGGGGCAGATTGTGTTATCTCCCGTGAGAACTTCTTCCTGACTTGGGGACAGCCATCCATTTGTTCCATTGTTGGGTCCCTTGAGGTTTTCCCTAAACCATTGAGAGACCTAATTACCTCCAGCTCCAATCCTCTTAGGACCTTGTCTTCAACACATAAATGGGAGAGGAGTGCACAAAGAATGCTATTTAAGCCTTCCCTGAAGGTAAAATACCTGCAGATGTTTATTATAAATAGTGTTTGAACAGAATCAAGTACAAACATCAACTTAGACAAATGATGGATCTGGGATGAAATTGTAGTCAGTATCAGTTGCTTTGAATGGCAGCTTCTAGAAGCTTGCTGGCGGAAGTTTCCCTTAAATGGTCCCATGGGCAGCTGCTGTTTGCTAGCCCTGTCCGCGCTGGGCGCCCCAGGCACACCTCATTGTGCTGTTCTGTGCTTTATTACGCCCCATAGATAGTGGAGATTTTCCAAATTAATGCTTTATGGCAATCCAGTCTTTAACAATCTATCAACAGTATTTTCTAACAGATCAGATGACTGTTAGCATTTCATATTAACAAACGGTTGAGTGAGTGGTGTGTTGCTGAAGATAAATGCTATTGTGTATTTAGCAGACACAATATAATGTAAATATAACGTTTATTAACAATGAGAAACCAAAAACTTCCCATGATTTGTGTCTGGACCTTAACTCCCCCTGACATCTCCAAGGTACACCTTCTAGTAAGGACATTAATTCAGGCTTCAGGGCACAGAGATCACAAGCTGTCTGAGCCCCTCCCCATCTGATGATCAGATGGCAGTCGTCACATACCGTGTCATTCAGGAGATACATCGTAATGAGATGCGACTAATTCTTCCACTGACCTGATGTCTTGCTTTTATTTTAACCTGGTACCCATTTAAAAGTTGAGTCTTGATGTAAATTGAGATAGTGCTTGTTCCAATCCCAGGTTGGCCTGCTGGATGAAGATGCAGTATGTAGAAACATAGAGCTCCCCTGTAGACTCTTATTTTAATAGTCAGGTTGTTCCCCTCCAGTGGAGGAAGTTGTGTCAGATGTTACCTTCTGGCAGGAAACAAGCAGGGAATCCCGGGGTTCCCCAGTGAGCCTGACCCGATAGGCACATGCTGCCCTCCGGGAATCCTGAGGTTCCCCAGTGAGCCTGACCCGATAGGCACATGCTGCCCTCCGCTTCCAGGCAGTGTTTAAGCTCGTTTCGACTGGCTTGACAATTCCAGCTTTGAGACCTGGGTAAATTAGAAACTTTATGTCCCACTGACTTGTGATGTGTTCATTTCACTCTTGCAACACAGCATTTAATGCATTTGGAAGGAAATATCTTTCTTTCCAAAATGTAATTTAAAATAAAATTTCCTTTTAATAGATATTATTTTTCAATGATGTGGCACATCATCTTCTTGATTTCCCTTTATTTCTGAAGCAATGAAATGTAAAAATGGATTATGAGAAAGAAATCCCAATAACGCCAGTCTCTTTCATTTAACCCTTCAAAGAGCTGGGTGAAGCCTGACACTTTGCAAGATAAAGATAAAACATTTGGACTTTGGGGATTCACAGGCTGATTATCTAGTTGCTGTTGTTGTTTTTATTTATATCGTACTTGACTGGACTTGTATGAAAGCAGACTAAGGACATTCTTTCTCGGTCAGGAAAGTAGGTATGGCATACACAGCCCAGCTGATACCTGCTGCCTTTATCCTGGAATTAATAACTACCCAGGGCACGAGGCACGGTTCACTCCACCTAGCCAGTGAAGGGAGGCTGGGGGACTTTATGCCTCAGAGATTTCCTGTGGGCTTTCAGAACACTGGTTTAGGGATCAGGGTGTATTCACGCACCTTCATTTTACTCGAGGGATAGTAGAGTGCTTGCCAGTAGCCAGCTGAAGAGCTGGTTTCTTCTTAGTTTCCAGTACTGTCAGAAGGTCCAGGTGAAGGGCTGGGAGGGTGGCTTGGTGGTAAAGTGCTCACCTAGCATGCCTGAAGCCCTGGGTTTGATTCCTCAGTACCACATACCCAGACAAAGCCAGAAGTGGCGCTGTGGTTCAAGTGGTAGAGTGCTAGCCTTGAGCAAAAAGCAGGGACAGTGCCCAGGCCCAAAGCTCAAGCTCCAGGACTGGCAAAAGAAAAAAAAAAAGAAGAAGAAGAAGGTGCAGGTGAAGAGCCCCTGAGTGCTGGTGACCCTCCCGTCCGGTGGGGTTTTCCTCTCTGCTACCTACTGAGACCACCTTTCCCGGGAATATTCTAGACCCATTTCTTACTGCATCCATGCTTCTCTCCTGTTGGACATCCAGCCAGCCCTAGGCCTATTTCCTGGGTCCTGACTAAGCAGACACGTTGAAATTCATTTCTTTGAAATCTCAGGTGGTCAAATGGCAAATGGGAACTCTTTTAGAATGCTGGTGATGGACTCCAAAGTACAATTATCTGCTGGGATCTTCTCTACAAAGACGAATTTAAAGTCATGTTGCCCAATCGGTGTTGGGGATCCTCTCTGCACTTGTCTATCATTCTTACTCCTCTTGCCTCTGTGACAGTGCTTTGGTGGCTGTACCTGTCTCCTCTGTCATAATGGTCCTTGGCCATGGTGATCTTCATTCTATGTTCCAGTCCCCTAGAAATCCCATTTGGTCTCACAGTTTCTCCTGTACCTTCTAGCATGAGCTGTGTGTGTCTGTGTGTTTTGTGTGTGTGTGTGTGTGTGTGTGTGTGTGTGTGTGTGTGTGTTAGCATTGTTTAAATTCTCGTGTGCCCAAAATTATTTTGATCTTAAGGTTACCTAACTTTCTATTGTAACAATAGTTGCACAGCTAAGAATAAGTTACAAGTCAAAAAGACAATTTATACAGGCTCCAGTTAGCTTACACATGTAATCTAGCTACTCAGGAAGTTGAGATCTGAGGATCTTGGTTCAAAGCCAGCCCAGACA